GTAGCTCAGGCAACCTACCTCAGGGCCCCTGGGCCCCAGTGAAAGCCCCAGGCCCCACAGTGAAAATCAGGGCAGAGTGAGGAGGCCTGGGCCATTCTCAGGAGGTATGAAGGTCCCTATGCTGTAGGATGAAAGAGGACCTGCCAGGTGGGACTTAAGGGGAGGCCATTCCAGCTTCCTCCTGCAGGACAGGGCCTAGGCAGCAGGTGTCCACAGCCTGGCTATGTCTCTCGGCTTCCCTATAGTCTCCAAAGCAGCTGAACCCTAATGGCTCTCTTCTTTAAAGTTTATTAATATTTATTTGGAAAGAGAGGGGCCCTTGACAGGGTCTTGTCATGGCATGATCCTCTCCCATCCTCACAGCCAGCAGGGATCACAGATGTGTGTGCTCTTGTGTGTTCAGGTCGATCTGGGATCTGAACCTGGGCCTCCCATATGGCTCCAGTGGTGCCCTGCTGCCTACACCACCATAGCTGGGTCCCAATGCTTCTGCATCTCCCCACAGCCCTGCTTTTGTTACAATTTTTTCCTTGTTAGATTTGACAAGCATTTCCTCTCCCAGCTATAGAGGTCCTGGGACTGGGATTCTAGGCCCCGTTCACCTGAAAGGTGGCCCTTTTTCATCACATCTCTGCTGTGGGGTCACTGGAACAAGGTCAAGCCCTTGACATCCCCGTGGCCAGCTCCACTGCAGCTTCTGCAGCAGTGCTCAGACCACCCTTCACCTGAGTCACCCAGGCTCTGCCTGTACAGTAGCCGAGTCTCTGGACTTCTTGTTTGGTTCATGCCATCTCTGCTGTCAGCACTGACAATATGGTGAGGTTGTGTGAGGCAGGAGAGGCTGGTGGCCATAGACCAGGCCCTGCGGTTCAGTCCCCGTTTTGGCCCTTCCTAGTTGGGAAAGTTGGTTACTTGACTCTCAGTATCAGTTTCCTCTTCCGTGAAATGGCAGTAATTAGAGTACTTCTCTCTCTTTTAATTTAATTTAATTTAATTTATTCATTCATTTATTTTAATTTGACCAGAGAGAAAGAGAGAGAGAGAGAGAAAGTGAGAAAGCAAGCCAGCAGGTCCAGGACTCAAACCGTGGTCAGTCATGTGGGAGTGTCCAGCGTCTTAACCACTACACCACCTGCTGGTCCCCAGAGTACTTCTCTTTTGAGGCTATTGTGGGAATTAAGAAAGTTAAGGCCTACGATGAGTTTAGAACAGCACACGGGACATGGGGCCCGCTGGACGAGCGTCAGCTGTTACTGTTTTGCCACTGGCTGGATTGACTCCTTCCTGTGACTCTGAGGAAGTTCTGTTATGTCCGCTTCATTACAGATGGGGAGATGAGGCCTAGGGAGTTTGAATGACTTGACCGAAGGTTATACTGACCTCTGCGCTGCAGAAGCTCTTCCCTCTGACCTATGACCTATGGCTTGTAGGCCCCACACCAGGCTTAACTCTCAGATCCGGGAAGCCACCATAGCCCACAAGGCTCTAAGCTAACATCTACTGGCTGCCCGGGATCTTTCTGCATCGTGTCGGAGCCCCAAAGCACAGCAGCATGAACCAGAAGGTCTCGAACGGAGCAGCTGTGTGAGGAAGTGACTTTTGGCCAGTTTCCTGAGGATGGGCCCCAAGGGCAGCACTTCTGGTGTTCTCTGTTCTCTGCCCTCTGTGGAGAGTCATTTTCCTAGCCTCATCAGTCACCTCCTTAGCTCCAGCACCTCGTTACCTCTTGTCCTGGAACTGCCTCCAAGCAAAGGGCCAAAGGAAGAGAAACTGACCCCAGCATTTACCTGCAGTTCCCCTGAAGATGGGCCCGAGAATGGAGAGGTACAAGCTCTGAATTGCATCCATGTTGCTTGTGTTTTCACAACAGCATTGGTCCCTTTTGTAATTACGAATACTATTTTTATTTTTTTGGAAGGTTTTTGTCATAGGGTGCATGCACTTGCCAGAGATGGAGAGAAATAGAGAGAGGGAAAGTGAGAAATCATTCCCCAGGGAGGATGGCCAGGCTGCAATCCCTCTTCTTCTACTCTCCTCATGGGATTATGGGCACATACTCAGTGTCGTTTTCAAGCCACTGGGTCCAGGACTTGAACCACAGTCGGCCATGTGGGAATCCAGCACCTCAGTTACCACTAGGGGGTCGGATTCTCTTCCTTTGGACTTTGCTTAGAGGCAGGTCCATGACAGGAGATGAGGAGGTGCTGGGGCCAGGGAGGTGACTGACGTGGTGAGGAAATTGGTTACAAACGGGTATTGAGTGAGTACAGGAATATACTGAGGATGATGGGGGTCAGATTTCTCCCTGTGGAGAGTTACAAGTGAGGAATAGGGGGAAACTGGAGAGGATCCTGAGGGGTTGGATTAGAATCGCAGGTATTAGTTCACGAACTCCTGACTTCGAGTATCTTCCTGTGGGTGTGTAGATATAGCTGTCTGTGTGTGCATGCTTTGTGAACCTTTGCATTTCCCACCTGAAGACAGGGCTTAGGAGCAATGACTTCCTGGAAGGAATGAGCCACCAAGCATCTAGATTTTTGGTTTTGAAGTCCTGTCTTAAGTGTAAGAGATGGAGAGAGGGAAAGTGACAAAGAGGATTGGCTGACTGCAGGGCTGGGGCTGAGAAATTTCGGGATGAGCCTGGACCACATCATGCCTTCTGGCACAGGTAAGAAGTGCTCAGAGAATGTTGGGGCCTTGACAAAAAGACAGAGGTGCCTGCCTGGAGGGGCTCCCACAGGCCAAGTCTAGGACAAGGTGAGCTTTAAAATAATGATGTGAAGGAAATACGTGCTACTGAATAAAAGGAGAATTCACGAGCCTGAGCTGACAGAAACATAGGATGAACGCATGAATGGGGAGAAGAGAAAGCTCTTCTTGCCAGTTGAGTGCTGTTTGGCTGCTATCTGGGTCGTGCGTGATCCAAGCAGGAGTCCGCGGTGCTAAGGAGGCTCTCCTCACAAAATATCCATCACAAAGGAAGGATGAGCCAATTTATCATAAAGAAACCTGGACAACACTTTGACCGGGTGATCAGGGCTACTGTGACCAGTATGGGGGACAGGTCACCCTCATGTTCCTCCTGATGCGATGCACTGAGAAGAGCCCAGCATAATTTCTATGGAGTCCATCCCATGAAGGCATGGCCTGGGTCCAGACGAGAGCTGACAGTGGACAGACCCAGGTTGAGGGACATCTTACGGAATGAAAGACCTCTACTCTTCTACACCACCCAGATCATGAAGACAGGTAAGACTGAGGAAATATTCCAGCATGAAGGAGAGTGAAAAGTCACAACAAAATGAAACACGTGCTCCTGGACTGGCTCCCACCAGGAGAAAGACATTGTGGGGATGACTGGGGGATTTGGAAGGGGTCTGTGGACTGGGTGGTAGGATGGTATCGGCATGGATTTCCTGGTTTGAAGAGTTGTGTCGTGGTTGTGTGGGACAGTAGCCTTGTTTAGAGGAGAAATACCCACCAGAGTACTTAGGGATGATGGGCTATCCTGTCTGCAACTTATAATTTAGAACAAGAATAGTTCAAATAGTTTGGAAAAGGGATCATGCAAATGGGAATATTTGCAGAGAGAAAGGGTGACAGAGTAAACATGCAAAAGTTAAAAAGTAGACATCGCAGTGACAGGGATACAGGTGTTTTTTGTTACTGTTCTTGTAACTATTTTCTGCAACTTTTATTTTTTTAAAAAAGAATTATTTAATTTTATTTATTCATTCATTTATTTTTAATTTGACAGAGAGAGACGGGGTGGAGGGGGAGGAGAAGGTAAACCACTAGGTCTAGATTCGAACCATAGTCAGCCATGTGGGAGTGTGCAGCGCCTTAACCACCACGCCACCTACTGGTCCCTCTGCAACTTTTATTTGAAAACGAAATTGTGAAAGTTTTGTGTGTATCCTCCATGTATATTGCATACACGTGTATACAGGCACCCAGAAGCTGAGGTCCCAACACCGGCTGATCTGCCTGACTTTGGGACTGGTACTCCGGCGTGTGGATTAGAAACACACCCCCGCAGGCGATTCCCACGTGCGGTCAAGTTTGAGAACCAACGGTGGGGTGGGCCCAACCTCACACGCATCACCTGTGGGCGAGTAAAGGGCTCCGGGAGGCCTCGGGGGAGCCGGCGGCCTGTGATAGGCCGGCGGGCATGAGCGCAGGTGGTCTGGCCGCCGACCCCGCCCGGGCCTCGTGCGGCCCCAGGTGTCCGGGTGAAAGGAGCCTGCCCCGGTGCCCGCGCGCCGCCATGTACGCCGCGCCCGCGTCGCCGTGCCCGGAGCCATGCCCCGCGCTGCCCGCGCTGCTAGGCGCCCCGCAGGCCGAGGTGCTGGAGGACGTGCTGCGGGAGCAGTTCGGGCCGCTGCCCCAGCTGGCCGCCATCTGCCGGCTCAAGCGGCTGACCTCGGGCAGCTACTCGTCCACGGAAGACCTCCAGCTGGTGCTGGAGCGGCGACGTGTGGCCAATGCCAAGGAGCGGGAGCAGGTGAGGGGTCCTCAGGGCCACCTTGGCACGGCCGCCCCCCGACCCGGCCAGGGAGAGGACCGACTCCCCTTCCCATACTCGCTCCCCGCCACCACCCCGCAGCCGGTACCGGTGCGCCCACCGGAGCCCACCCGCGGGCCCGAGGCCCCGCGTCCTCCTGAGCCCGGCTCCCGTCCTCAGCTTGTCAGGAGAACGACAGTGGCCTCCTGGCCTCCACCTTGTCCAGCTGCCCGTTGGTGGCCGCTGGGATGGGCTTCTCACCCGCTAACCCTCCCAGATTTGTGCAGGAGCCCGGCCGAGAAGGCGACCGCCAACTTCACAGCTCTGCGTGGCAGGCGCTAAAACTTCCAACGGGGGCGCTGGTTGGGTACTTGGGGTGCCAAGCGTTTCCCCCAGCTCTTTTTTCCTGCCCTCGGCCTCAAGCAGATAAGGGGTGGGGACCTAAAGGAAATTACTTTAGTGTTTGAAGTAACGAAACTCGTGTCCCAGTGTGCCCCAAGGATTCCCTCAGTCCTCGCCCAGAGAAGGACAGTGGCTCTTTCCCAGCACTGCGGGGGCGGTGGCTCCCCAATCGGCGGCGCGCCGTGGCCACAGCGGCACCTGCCGGCGGCCTTCAGTATCTCTGCACTCCGCTGCTCTCCTTGGTGTCCTTTGCGACCCCCTGCGTTTGGTTGCAGCCAGATCAGGCCTTGGGAGAAAAGGGCAAGTGGTGGGAGTGGGAGTGGGGTGCACAGGTAGGCTGGTAGGCCGGGATCTTGGAGATGGAAATCCTGCGGGAATGTTCCTGAACACACCAGACCCTTTAGACAGTAATCCCAGTGAATCAACCAGGAGCTTTGGGGAAGAGGGTGAGGAGAAGGGACCGAGTGAGGGCAGAAGACCTAGGAAGTTCGGAAAATTGCAAGCCTGGAGAAGCATGCTTTTAGTAGGTACTAGGCCCTTTATGAAAATAGTCTCAGCAGGTCCGTGGTCTGATGGCTAAGGCAGCCAGATCCCACATGGCCAACCGCGAGGTTTGAGTCCTAGACCAGCGACTTGAAAAACACCCCAAGCACGTGTGTCTGAATGCCCAAAATCCGAAAGGAGGAAGAGATGGAAGAGTATGGATTGTGGGGGACCATGCTTCGTAGGGGTGCTTTCTCTTTAACTTCTCTCTGGTGAGCACATCTGAGAGATTTTTGTCCTCTAGCTGCAAAAGTCTGTGATCTGATTTGGTGGCCCTTAAAAAAAAGATTCTAACTCAGTGTTTTAAATGGCTCCTCCTGCCAGAAGGGCATTGCCTTCTACAGAGAATTGGTCCCAGTGATAAACTAATGACCTTTATTGACCTTTATAATGATAAAGTTATTACACTATTAAACGTGGAGGCCAGGTGGTGGCCCAGTTGTAAAGCAACTTCACCCACATGGGGGCAGGTCTTGATCCTGGTGGGGTTGACTGAGACCGAGTGGCGTTGGGGGGAGTGAGAGAGTGTGTGTGTAGGGGGGTTACACCATGGCATAAAGACCCTGTCAGAGATACCTGTCTCTTTGCCTCTCTGTCCTTCTTTCTCATAGACGAAATAAACTTAAAAATGAATACACCCGGAAAATATACAGTGACTGAAGAAGGGTTGGAGACACTCGTAACCCAGATATAACTATTGTGAACCTTTTGCGTATTCCCTCCCAGTCTTTTTTTGGTCATGTGTCATATATAGTTTTACACAATTGTGATCCAGTATATATCTTTGTGATTTTTTTTCACCAAACATTACCAAAAATGTTTCCTCAAATTCCTAAGTATTCTTTCAAACAGTTTTTGATTGCATAGTCTGTCATATAAATGGGCCATAACTTGTTGCATGTCCTATTAGACATGCATGGTGTTTGCAGCTTTTTGTTGATAGGTACATAAACTTATGTTCATGTTTGATAATTGCCTTGGAATAAAATGCTAGATGTGGAGGCCAACAGGTGGCGTGGTGGTTATAGGTGCTGGATTCCCACATGGGCGACCACGGTTTGAGTCCCAGATGTGGTGGCTTGCTTTCTCACTTCCCTTTCTCTCTCTCTTTGTCTGTCTGGTCAAATTAAATAATAATAATAATAATAATTGGAATTAAATAATTCTTTTAAAAAATGCTAGATGTGGATTTACTGGCACATAGGACATATAAAATCTCATGATTTCTGATACAAGTTGCACAATTGCTTTCTAGAAAGGTTTATTTATTTATTTTGGAGAGGTTTTTGCTATAGGGAGTGTGTGCTTGCCAGAAAGAGACAGAGAGACAGAAAGCGAGAATCACCCCCCGGGGGCATGGCCACACTGCAATCCCTTCCCCTCCATTCTCCTCTCGGGATCTTGGGCACACACGTAAATGCGCCCGGCGTGAGTTTAAGCCACCAGATCTGGGACTCAAACCATGGTCGACTACATGGGAGTCCAGCAACATAGCCATTACGCCAACTGCTGGTCCCAGGATTGTTGTTCTTCTGATGCTGAATATGAGTAGCAAAAACGTTACCATGAAACATAGCAAATGGCCATTGTCAGTACATGAAAATGGTATTTAACTTGTTTGTAGTTCTTTGATCATTACAGTTCAATCTTTTCATATGTTTACTGACCACTAGATTCTCCTGTGGATTAGCTTGGTTTCAGGATGAGAGAGTTCTCTCAATATAATTGAGTCTATTTGCTTATGATGTGTGTGTGTGTGGGGGGGGGATGAGCTCCGTGTTTCAGTCTAGCAGAGCCAAAGTCTTAGACTCTAAAAAATAGAAGAAACAAGTGGGGGACCGTTGAAGTCTCCCCAACAGGCAGACTCTCACACTTGACTCTATATCACTAACTCAATGGGGAAAGAAGAGGGGGAAGAGTTGTCATTACTGTGCTTGGTAGACAGACGTGGTCCATTTTACACACCAGTGGTCCCACTTCCTGAGGACTAGCTCTATGGGTCGGGCTGGGTGGGGTGTTTTATGTGTGCATTGTATCAGTCACCCCCCTAAAAGATACAAGTGGATATTTTCTATTTTGCAGATAAACTGAGACTTATCACCATGAAGAATCCCACACAAGTGGGGTTAGGAAATCGCGGAACTGTGTTTGAAGCCTTTGTGCAGTTGGCTCAGAGCTTTTCCATTACCCCTTTGCCTCTCTGCTCCAATGCAGTCGGTGTGCTCTGAAAGGCAGAGGAGGGAGATATAGACACACCTTCCAGTCCGTCTGTCCACAGTGCTGAGCTTATGCCCCCTGTCCCCTGCATGACACTGCTGGCGGAGCAGTGACGCTTTGACGTGTGCTTGCGTAGACGTGCCACCCAGACAACAGGACCATGGAAATGAGCCCTCACAGCCCCCTTCTGTGTTTGGGGGAATGTCTGTACAAATTGGCTTCTCTGTGTGTCACTGCCTTTTTGTTTTCTAGATAAAAAATCTCAACCGTGGTTTTGCCAAACTGAAGGCACTTGTGCCGTTTCTGCCCCAAAGCAGGAAGCCTAGCAAAGTTGATATTCTTAAAGGTGCAACAGAATACATACAAGTCCTCAGTTATGTCTTGGAAGGCGCCAAAGACTCAGAGGTAAAGATTTAAGGACTTTGAAATAGGCACCATTTACTGAGCCAGGCATGGTGCCAAGTAATTTATGTGTACTTTCCAGTTAATGTTCCTAACGATCCTCTCAGCTATTTATGGTACATTTCCACAGAGGCGGAAACCAAATAATAGGTAAAGGCCACACGGCAAAGAAACGTCAAGACTGGACTAAAACCCAGGTCTGGAGGAGCTGGAGGAGCTTTGGAGTCAAGCCCTGACCATTTCCTTTTTTTTTTAGAGAGATTTTTGCTATAGGGCATGTGTGCTTATCAGAGAGAGAGAGAGAGAGGTAGAGAGAGAGAGAAATCACCCCCAGGAGAGATGGCCACACTGCAATTCCCCCGTCCTCCATTCTCCTCTTAGGATTTTGGGCCTGCAGGCACACGTGCCCAGCATGAGTTTCAAGTCGCCAGGTCTGGGACTCAAACTGCAGTTGACTACATGGGAGTGCAGTAACGTAACCATTACACCATCTGCTGGTCCCTAAGCCCTGACCGTTTCTATACTTATTTCCTTTCACTGTCCAGTGCACCCAGCTCCTAACTCCTAAGTCTTTAGCAAAACCTTGGCGGCTGGGACATAAAGAAGAGGCTTTCATAAAAGCTCTTGGAGGTGAGGGGGTTGTGTTCCTTTAGCAGATCACACATCAGACAGGACATAGAAAGGGAGAGGCATTTCTCTAAGGGGCCTCCCTCCAAGAACTCCCTGCATCACATCCAGCTGGCAAGTTCAGTAGTGGTCTGGGGATATCAGTCTCCTGGGGCTTTGCGACCATTTGGTGGGATGACATAAATGACCCTCTTTGTGAACCCTAATGCATCACACGCTCAGACGTGTCCATCAGGCACTGGAGGTGTGGGCTGGTTGTTTGGGCTTTTCTATGCTCAGGCAAACCTTAAGGCCTGGAAATGAGTCAGTTGTCAGAGGAGATGAGATACTAAGAGAGGAAAGTCCTTAGAAATGAGCCCTAAGCAACCCATTGACAGAAGGAAGAAGGTGGCAGGAAGGTGGAGGGATAAGATGGCCTCATAAAATTGAGGAGAAACTCTTGGGAAACTGAAGGTGGGAAGTATGAGATGCTATGGAGGCAGAGAAAGTCCAGGAGAGGGGAAAGCGTTTGAGAGGTGGAAGAGGAGCAGGCTTGAAGTCAACCCGTAGGAGGTGGAGAGTGAACCGTTAATAACTACCTGAAATCCAACCGGGCGTTAGATCGTCCTATTGGCCAAATGAGATGATCAAGGCGTGGTATGGTCATAGTATTTGGACTTGGGCGGGGCTATTCAGGTTTTCCCTTCCATGTTAATTGTGTAACAGAGAGCTCTCTTCTGTGCTGCATTCATTGTAAAATATAGGACCTGTTCCAGGCTAGAATTTTTTTAAAAAAAGAATTTAACTTTCTTTTTTTTTCTTTTCCTTTCTTTTCTTCTTTTTCTTTCTTTCCTTTCCCAGAGAGAGAGAAAGAGAGAAAGCAAGCTGCCAGGTCCAGGACTCAAACTGCATTTGGCCATGTGGGAGTTCATTGCCCTTAACCACCATGCCACCTGCTGGCCCCACTATCATATTTTCTTTATTAGAGCTATTTTATTTAACTTTATTTATTTTAATTTGACCAGAGAGGGAGATGGGAGAGAGAGAGAGAAAGTGAGAAAGAAAGCAAGTTGCCAGGTCCAGGACTCGAACTGTGGTTTACTATGTGGGAGTCCAGCATCCTTAACTACCACACCACTTGCCAGCACCCCCACTATCATATATATTTATTTATTTTTGGAGAGTTTTTGCTATAGAGTGCATGCACTTGACAGAAAGAGAGACAGAGAGATAGAAAGCGAGAAATCATTCCCCGGGGGGATGGCCACGCTGCAATCCCTTCTCCTCTCGGGATCTTGGGCACGCACGCACACGCGCCCGGCGTGAGTTTAAGCCACTGGGTCCAGGACTCAAACTGCAGTCGACTACATGGGAGTCCAGTGACATAGCCATTACACTAACTGCTGGTCCCAGCCCACTATCATATTTTTTTTTTTTTTGAGAGATTTTCACTGTAGGGCGCGTGCGCTCGCCAGACAGACAGAGAGAGACATAGAGACAGAAAGCGAGAAAGACTACGTGGGAGTCCAGTGACATAGCCATTACGCTAACTGCTGGTTCCCTCCCCACTATCATATTTTTAACACAGGTGACTGTTGCACAACACTTTAAGGTTACAGAGGAACAAAATACAGTCAATTGAACAATCTTTTTTTTCTCCATTAAAAACTTAGACATTGCGGCTGGCAGGTGGCATGGTGGTTAAGGCATTGGACTTCCACATGGCTAACTGTGGTTCTAGTTCTAGACCCAACAGTTTGAAACTTACGCTGGGCATGCTTGCCCAAAATCCCAGGAGGAGAATGAAGGAGAAGGGATCATGGCATGGCCATCCTCTCTGGAGGGTGATTTCTCACTTTCTCTCTCTCTCTCATGAGTGCATGTGCCCTATACCAAAAACAAACTAAAAAACAAAATTAAAAAAAAAAAAAAACTGAGGCACTACCCTTATCACTTAAAGGAAACTTTGTCAGTTGAAACTTTGAAATACATTGATTTAAATCTTCAAAGTCTGTCATATTACAGTTTGACAACTAAATATGGTTTCTAGAAACAAGACCCAGAGGAGCAGATGAGCAATACCACTTTGGAACCACATCTACCTGTGGATAAGGAACTTTCTAGAAGCATGACTCAACACACCAGCTGCGCCATCAGCTTGAAGAATGAGGGGGAAGGATCCTGGGCAGATGGTGGCTGTGGGGAGCCACTGTATGCTTGTCGCTGGAACATGCCATCTACAGCTGGAGCCGTCTCCCCCATCACGAGTCTGGTAAAGTATCCCTTCTTGAATAACTGTAGAAATTAAAAACCAACCAAACAAAACTGAAAATGTATACCTGGAATTGGGTGTCATTTTCCATGCTAGAACATGATTAGGACAAAATAATTTGTGAAAGCACCTGGCCGGACTAATTTGGAAGATTATTTTGTTCTTAAATTAATCGGTGAGCAACTCAAAGAGAGGAAGAACTCCCCCAGAATCACCCAATACTGACCTAAGCCTATTTTTTTTTTAAAAAAATACCCTTTGTGATCCATCAAAAGATTTCTAGGGGCCAGCAAATGGCATAGCGGTTACGTTGCTGGACTCCCACATGGTTCAACACAGTTCTAGTTCCAGACCCAGTGGCTTGAAAATCACCCTGGGCATGTGTGCATGCATGCCCAAGACCTCTCAGGAAGAGAATGGAAGAGAAGGGATTGTGGTGTAGCCATCCTTCCTAGGCAGTTATTTCTCACCCTCCTCTGGCCCCACCCAGCGCATGTGTCCTAAGGCAAAAACCTATTAAAGTAAAAGAGCTGGTTTCTAGACTCTGTGGTCTACAAACTGTGTAAAACTGCATGGTGATACTAATCTTGGGGAGTGGGGCCCTGTGTTTTATTGCCAGAGGGCATGTGCCCTTGCCGGAGAGAGAAAGCAAACACATGCAAAAGCATTCCCTTCTCCCCAAATGGGGCATGATCATGTTGCAATCCTTTTTCCCCTGTTTCTCCATTCTGTCATGATTTCAGGGGTGTATGCACATGTTTCTGGCATGTTTTTTGAGCCACCAGGGATTGAGCCACAATGAGAACGTGGGATCTGGCTCTCTATGTACAGTGTTTAGCCACTGCCTATGGGGCCAGCCCAAGCCACATTTTAAGACAACCTTTTCTAAGTAATAGCAAAGAAGTTTATCATAGCAGCTCTTACTTTGTCAAGCTAAATAGGCAGCTGGAAGTAGGAGCAGGCTTCCCAAGACCAGAGGGGGACCTTCTGCCACTGGATCGGTGTTACACACACGGGCCCCTTTGCCCTATCTTACCCTATGATGCAATTCCCGCTGAAATAAGGCCTTGCAGCCAGCAGGTGTTGTGGTGATGAGGGTACTGGATTCCCCACATGGCCAACCACAGGTTGAGCGCTGAACCTGGAGGTTTGCTTTCTTATCTTCCTTCTCTCTCTCTCTGGTGAGCACACGTGCCCCTATAACAAATTACAAAATAAGCCTTCCTTTTGGCTGGAACCGCCATCTTCCAGTAATTAACCACAATGTCGAACACAAAGGTAAAGAGGAGAGGCACCCGATAAATGTTCTCTAGGCCTTTTAGAAAACATGGAGTTGTTCCTTTGGCAACATATATGCGAATCTACAAGAAAGGTGATATTGTAGACATTAAGGGAATGGGTACTGTTCAAAAAGGAATGCCCCACAAATGCTACCATGGCAAAACTGGAGGAGTTTATAATGTTACCCAGCATGAGAAGCCAAAGAGAAAGGGACCTGGTTCAACTGAAGCGCCAGCCTGCTCCACCCAGAGACGCACTCTGTGAGAACCAATGGGAAGGAGCCTGAGCTACTGGAACCTATTCCCTATGAATTCATGGCATGATGGGGGTTAAAAATAAACTAACCTGTGGTGTATAAAAAAAAAAAACCCAAACAAATTATAAAATAATAATAATAATTAATTAATTAATAAATAAAATAAATAAAAAAGACTTGTAGACGCTGAACCAAGGCCGCCCTAACAAGCAAATTCCTTGGTGCGATGTAAGGGGCGGTGGGGACTATGGAGTCACAGATGATGGCTGACAGAAAGCAGTTTTAGATTAGCACTTCGGTATAGGCCCTGAAGAGATGACTGAAGCTCAAACCTCTCAGCTCTTCAGTTTCCTCATTCAGAACGGGTGTGATGTCTGTACCTGCCTTGTACATAAGACGACTGAGGTCCAATGGACATGTCAGTGACACGTCTGGGATATCATGTTCAGTTGCTCAGACATCAAATTGGCTTGATCACCATGTGCAATCAGTATCGATTTGTCATCCATAACAATCCACATGGGGCCACCATGGTTTGAGCCCTTTTCCTGGTGGCTTGCTTTCTCCCCCTACCCATCTCTTTCTGGTAAACGCATGTGCCCTATAGCAAGTTAAAAAATAATAATTAATAAAAATCAAATAATTTTTAAAAATAATAACCCACAGACCTCCTAGCTGATTGCGTAAGTGTCCTGGGTTTTCTCACTCGGCTGTCACCACGCTCCGCCTCTGCAGTGTGATGGTCCAGGCTTCCTGCTGCCTGGCTACCTTGGCCGGGGCTAAACCATGGGCGAGCGGTCCAGGGGCTAGCCTGTCTTGGCTTCTGTTTCCAATTTGATGATGATTTCCTAAAGACTCCATTTGTGCCTATGCTCAGTCTAGATTTTCATATTCTGGCCACTTGAGGTAGAAACCTCCCCTTGTAAGTCATCCCTGAGGAGCCAGCATTTCTGTTGCTACTGCATTTGCTGACACAGGACAATTGAGGACAAAAGAGGGAGTGAAGAAATGACCAGAGTTGACCCTTGAGTCTGGCTGTCTGAGTTAGTCAAGCTCCCTCCACAAACATTAGTATTAATATGTACTAGCTGTTAAGGCTTGTATTTGGTCTTCATTGATCCTTATCAGGTAGGTGTTACCATGTCATTTTCATGGTGGCTTGCCTGGCTCTACCTTCCTTCCAGGACTGTCGGGCCTGGGCGGGCAGGGGCCTATGCAGTGGCAGAGTAGGCCCATGCTCAGTGACACCAGCCTCAAGTACAGTGTGTCCGCTTACAGTGGGACTTCTATCTCCTGGTCAAACCACATAAATTCTGGCTGGAATTTTCTTCAATGAAGAAAAAATATTTAATTTTTCATCTTTTTAGGCAAGTTTGTCAGTTGGAAGAATGTGCTAGTTCCATTTTTTTTTTCCTTTCCTAATTTGCTATGGGGCACAGATGCTGGCCAGAGAGAATCTGGGGGGAGGAATGAGAAAGCACCCCCATTGGCATGGTTATGTCACAGTCCCTTCTCCTCCATTTCTCTTTTTGGGATTTTGGCCATACGTCCAGTGTGTTTCTTAAACGGCCTGTTCCAGGACTTCAACCATGCAGTCAGCTATGTGGGGTCCAGACTCCTTAACCACCATGCCAAGGGCTGGCCCCAAGTATGCTAATTTTTACAATGAACAAAGAATGAATTACATGTTTGAGATTTTTAAATATATGTATCTTCTGTCAAGTGTATTTTCCAAGGTCTGATCGGAAAGAGT